AAAACCGGTGGATTGGGAGGCGCTCTTCCCGCCCGGTGGCACTGCCAAGCAACACATGCTGAGAGAGACACGACATCAGCAGAGACCTCCATCATTTCTACGTTACCGAGCTCCGCGAGAGAAACGAACGGCAGTCGGGGAGTATCGGCTCTATAAGAAAACCTTGTCCAACGCGGCTGCTAAGTGAACAGGTGAACATGCCGCATGCACTGCAATTGTCGTTTTGGTTTTAAACTCAAGTTTAGCCCAATGCTAAGTCAACCAAATGAGCGTTGGCAGAGCCTACCCCAGTGTCCGTTACATACGCTACAGCATACAGGAGCTAGGCAACAAATACATTCAGAAACAGTGTGTAACAGTTACTGCTAAAAGCAAATATACAAATCCTTTGACACCCAGACAGAACTAGAAGATGCTGCCCGATGGACATGGACCACTTCAGTGAATCTCGGATGAGAGCTTGCACTGGGTTGGCTGGAGAGAAGGGCAGCCAAACCGGCCATCCCCAGGTCATGGGCTGAGGTGCAGAGGGCAGAGCTCTATGACTTACCATCAGGGACTACCCTTTAATTAAAGAGTAGAAAAAAGAACAAAGTTAAATTGAGTTCTCCATTAGTAGGTTGAGATCAAGCCATGAAAATAGTAAGCAGAAACAAGCACACAAATATTTTAGAGCTACGGATTTGCATCACAACTTACATCTCATTGCTTTGCATATGCATCATCAGGCTTGTTATTTCTGCTACTATTTTCCTGGCTAGGAAAAGAACGGAAAATAACACTTACCAGGCTGTCTGTACCAGGGTTTGGTTACGTTCACATTCTAAGACTTGTAAATACATAACGATGATCTGAGAAACAAGAGGGAAAGAAGAAAAGGGACTCAGTTTTAAGGAACAAAGCAACAGCAAGGCAGTACCTACGTATGGCCACACAGCACTCCAGGCCCGTGGTCTCCCCTCCTTTTCTAAGCACGCGCTGCACGCTCCCACCATCCAGTCACCTCCAGGCAACACTTCAGATCTTACTCCTTTTCCATGATTTTAGAAAACAGTCACCCCAACAATTCCCAAGGCTTAAACCCAAGTGCACTCAACTATCTGCCCAAGCGCTCCGGCAAACACATTCACTGTAACTACTGAGGAATAAAGAGAAGAAATCGGGTCGTTTTTACACCGTGTTTCCTGTTCCACAGCTCACAACGCTGCCACCGAGGTAGAATGATACTTACAAGTACACTATTTTTGATAACTCACCTTATGCGGATGCTTGACATGAACACAAAATCCCAACTCCTTCAGTACCCTCCTTTCTGCTTTGATTACTTGATTTTTGGTGTTTATGTAGTTCTGATCAAGTATCAATGGGCTTGGAGTCCTATAGTTTGCAAGAAATAAAATCAAAACTGTTTTGCATATCCAAAAACTAGCGGCATCTCTCTTTTCCCTTCCAACCAACTATTGGCAACAGAAACAGTTTTTCAACTCCTGCAAGCAAGTTTAAGCATTAATCTTGTGCTGTCCAAGTTTAGATAAACTAGTTTAGTTTTCGCTTGTGACTAGCTACAGATTAGAAGGCTAAGATAAAAAAATAATCTTTTGCTACAGTGTATGCAAACCGTGCTGGTCCAGCTGCTGGACACAAGTCAACTTGGCCTCAAAGAACCTTCATGCGACAAGACAGAGGTGGGGGAAGGAGCAGGACACAGCTACCTCTGCGAGGCAGGACCTCCAAGGCAGAAGCAAGCTACGAGTTTTTTGCTTGTTTCTTTTTTTTTTTAACTGAAATTGAAGTAGCAAGCTTGTGCTTTATAAATTGCAATTTCCTATGCAGTGGGAGACAAGATTGTTCACACCTTCAGAGAACAAGAAAGCCCTGCTACTGGGGTATACAACAAACCTACGAGAGCAAAGAACTTCACCTCTGAAGTGGTGACAGATCTGCCCGTGGTATCGTGTCACTTCTGCAATTTGCAAAACAAAAGCTTGTTTCACAGAGAGAGATTCCCAAGCCCGGCATTATCAACTTCCAAGTCCTTCCAAATCCAGTACCTGAACCCTCCGAAGCCCTTTTAAAATTGTAACCAAAATAACTTGCCGCGTGCTTTGTGCACAGGCGTCACGCTCCACTGCAAACTCCTTTCGCCCGTGCTTAGACTTGACCTTTCAACATTCCACACTGCGTATTTTAATCCACTTCCTCCTAACGACAGACCAGTTTTTTCCCTGTTTGTAATGCCTCATGTATTCCACATGCTCTCCAGCACAGAATGGGGTTTTTCCTACTTGTTACGCTCTAAGAAACCACAGTTTGTTTACACGATAAGCCTAGTACCCCCTAGCACTAGTGACAAATATACTTTTTTTTTTCTGAAGGTAATTAAAATAATGTAAAGTGGTTTGAAAATACAGCTTCTGTTTTATCAAAATATTTCACTGCTAACTTGTCTTTTTTGGTTCTGTGCAAGTTCCACAAGTGGATCACATGCTCCTCTTCCCTGGTAGGTCACAGAGTAGGAAAAAAACCAAAGCACAACACTCAAAGCCCCTAGGTTCCCACCTAAGGAAGAAAGGGTCAATTTAATCACAAGGCTAGCTCGATGGCTTCCCAACTGCAATAATCTGCGATTTACGCTGCAGTCACCTGGAAGGACACGTACTGTCACTGGTGAAAGGACACACCAAACCATCCGCCTCACCAATAAAAGCATCATGTTGTAAAAACACCCACCCGGCGCGTGAGCTCCCCCCGCTCCTCCCCAGCGGCTGAGAAGCAGCTCGTACGAGGTCTGAAACCAACTGCTGCAGCTTCTCGGTGCCAGGAACGAACCACAACTCAAGCACGAGCCCTTACGACGTCCTTCTCCTCCAGAGCCACAAGGCACTCCAGGCTGCAGAGAAGCAGCTTCTTGGGCTAAGTGCTACTCCCTCCTCAGGGGAAGTCTACAGAGTTTGCTACTCTCCAGCTGCTCTATAACCCAGTCACAACACCAACTTTGGTTTGGTTTGTTTCTGGTTTTGTCTTCCACTTGTTTTGTTTTCATAAGCTAACTGGAAAAGAAAAACTTGTAAAGCTTAAAGTAACTACTTCCCTCTAGAGGCTATGGTTTTGTCTGGACACTCTAGCATTCCAAGGGCTGTCTGAACAAAAAGCTCTGGAGCCGGAGACTGGAAGAACCAAGCTGAAGCTCTTCAGATCAGAAAACCAGATTCACTTCCAATTGTTTTCAGCAAAGTCTATCGGGTTTTATAGTAACATTTCCTCCAATAGTACAGCTTTATCTAGAGACCACTGGCATTAACAGGATCTGCAAGGCATCATTCAGAGCAAGTTGAGGTGTCCAGACTTAGCTTATCTCGGCAGTGGAGCACTTCAGAGGTGACAAGTCTCAGATCAAACAGTTATGGCAGCTAAAACATTCAGTCTTACAAAAAAATCCTCAAAACAATACAGCCAAAAAAATCCAGTGGGGCCAGCCCACAACCTGCTGTGGGATTACTACCTTCCGCAGGCCTTGGCCTTCTCTGAAAGCTATGTAGGAAAGTCAGTACTATGAAAACACAACAATGCAGCTGGAAGTGCAACCGGAAGGGCCATGAGCCTTGCTGCATTTTACGCTTTTGCTGTCCTTCTACAGGGCCACGGGATCAGCACGAGTTCTGATCTCGGTTGTACACGTCCAATAGCAAAACGACCGGCATCTCAAAATTAAGACACCTGGAAACGTGCTTTACTTTGTCGCCCCATGTTCCTCCAGTCACTTTGAGAGGCAAGTTCTAGGGATCTACGGATCTAAGGAAGCCATGAAAAAACATCAGTGTACCCAGACAGCATTCCCAGAAACAGAGAGACAAATTCAGTCTATTACCCACTTACACAAAACTAGCAGTCTGCGTCAGACTTTTCTGCACCTCACTACTGGCACAAGTCAGGCTCCCCACTGTAAGGTTTACCAACTTAGTACTTGCGCATACATTCCAGGGTGTTGGTATGCATAATTATTTACAAGTTGAAAACTTCATGGATATGCCTCCAGAAAATTTAGCTTTCCCACTGGGAAAAGGAAAAAAGAGGACCTTTGCTACTGCATTTGCTGCACTTAATTCTCAGTCCAAGAATTAATCATTTTAGGCCCAAGTAACAAACAAGGGAAAAGTAATTTATAAGCTCATATATGAAATACAAGCTTCGAGCCCTAAATAGCCAAGTACTATTACAAATGTTTGCTTTGAATCTGTTCTTCCAAATCAGCACCAGAGCTCTAGCGAGGCTTTGCACTGGAGTGAGCACACAGAGCCCGTTCCGGTCAGTCAACCCAGCACTCCAGAGCACAACGTCATCGGGACTGAGGGGCTGCAGAACCCAAAGGATTAACACACTCTGCATTGTGTTTGTAACGATAAATTACAAATACCCTTTCTGTGAAAAAATCTTCCAACAAATGAAGCTTAAGTTCAAGACAGCTACAACTTCATCTGGTGTAATATTAAAACCTCGACGTCTTTGGAACGTCTAGTATTTTGGAGGAGAAGTGCCCCACGTGTAGTTCTGTCGGTACCACAAAAAGTACTTCTGGCAAGTGCAGCGTAACGTCAGCACCTCGTTTCAAGGATGGGATCTCTCTCCTGCCAGCCACAAGAGATAAGAAAGCGGGTTCTCTACTTGTCTCCGACATCGTAAATACAAGCACCGTGGATTGAACAGAACAGTTTGAAGAGCACTGAGTGTGTATAATTAACACGGGCCACTTCCAACCCCACGGCATGAACCTGTTCGCTGCAAACAGAAGGAGAGAACAGCTGACTGAACGTCTCAAACCAACATTCGTGAGATCACAGCATGACATTTGGGTCCAGCCTCGGAAGGACTTTTCTGCAGCTTCCAGGCACGTTTCAAATAAAGAAAATCAAACTACATTCTACACGTTTAACAACAGTTGCACTTGGCTCAGAACACAAATGTTTCGGCACACATTTCTTTAAAAAAAGCAGTATTTTTGTAATACGAGCTTTTCTCCATGCACACAAACATTTTTACATGCAGTACTACAGGACATATGCTCGTCAAAGATCCAAAAGAAAAATATGCTTGTCCAAAACATTTTTAAGTTTTTTTTTTTCTCCTTAGCATTAAAAACACCACCTGGCAATAACTCGGTGGACTACAGGTCTTACAAAAGAAAATTCCAATGCAATTCCCACGTACATATAAGGGACTGCTTACATAACGGTTTTTATAAATAGCTTTACAAATTCAAGACGTGTCCTTGTGAAGGCACGTTTCACTGCGAATTCAAACTGCAATTATACAGAGCCAGAAAGTGGAACTAAGAACCCAAAACTGTTTTAAGAAAGAAAGAAAGAAAGAAAGAAAGAAAGAAAGAAAGAAAGCCTACTTGAACTACTCGAACTTCATGTGCAGGTTAAGAGCTTCAGTTAACAGAAATACTAGACTAGAGGCGAAAAGAAAAGTACAGCAGCCTGACTGTTTCATTTCTGGGTTGGGTGTGAGAAACTAACTGGAGCCTAAGTGTTAGCTTCAGATAAAAAATAATAATAATAAACAAACAAACAAACAAACAAAAAGATTAAGCTAGTATTCTAAAATCCTGGACAGCAAAGAAAAAAGCTTATAACAAGATACAGGAGTTCTTCCAAATGGTTCACCAGCGGCCAACCTGTTTGTCCCCCGAATTCCAGTGACCTATTCTCAGAGCACTGGCTTCTCCTTGGGGATTTTCGATACTTCGCTCACTGTTGCCATGTCGACAGCTTCATCTTTATGTACCACTCCACATCACCCAGGCTTTGGTAAATGTAGTTGGTCGCTGTATAGTCGGTTGCAAGGGAAAAAAGAGTTGAAGTTAATAACGTGTACAGATTATGTAATAACTGCAATCTTGTTTAAAAAAAAAGTACAGAAAAACGTTTACATCCTGCTTCTTAAAAAAAAAGAAAAAAAGAAAGAAAAAGCAAGTCTGAAGTCAGACTTGAGCATTTTAGAGATTAATTTCATGCAGATTCACTGAGAATCTCGGAGCAACAATGCCCGTTTCTCCAGAAAATAACGAGTGGGAGTGCACGCTCTCTCGTGACATGATGTATTATTTAGACACCATGTAACAGGCACAAGTGACATTCTGACTGGAACGGGCTATAGCTGGAAAGATTCAAGTTCACAGGTTAAGTTCAGTTTCTCTGATCCTGCGCACAGCACAAAGAAACAACTAAATCGTATTCTCGTTGCAAAGAAGAGCGTTGCGTACGATTAATTAACCTTTGCTGCCTGGAACGAGGCCAAAGCATTTACAAATCACCAAACCAGCTTCAATAATTCCAATAACCAACTATCGTAACTGTGGTAAGAAACTCCACCACCAAATTCACGTTCAGTTTAACTTCAGAAATTCTCTCGGGGCTATCAGGAGTAACAACTTTAAAGAGGAAGAAGAGCTAAGTTTCAAAGTATAACGCTGAATCATTTCCTCTTATCTAAAGCTAACCAGGGAAACAGAAGCACACGGCAGTAAAAGCAGAAGTTCTTCAGACTCAACAGAAGTGTAACCAGGGAAAAGACACCAAGAGGCAGCTGGTGTCCCTAAGGGATTTCTACTCTACCTCTTGGAAAAGGCTACGCGACACTAAATTCCTGCCGTAACCTGGTGATACGAAGCAGAGAAATGAGAAGTGAGAATTTAAGAATCTAGCTGAAAACAAAATCCTCTCGTAGCTACGGATTACCCGCCGCTTGAACAATCAGCCACCAAAAGTAAAGCTACTTCATCTCCACGCTCAGGCTATAGCTCTGCTGCGCGAGGGATTTAAAGAAAGAGAACAGCAACTCGGAAAGCTTCCCTTCAGCTGCTCCTTGTTCCCTCCAACTCGACGAGGTAACGCTTCACAGGTGAGAACACACACTGCCGCACACACACCAAAAAGCAGCGTCAGGCACTCCCAGCCGAGAGCAGCTCTACAGCTCCGCAGACACCGATGCCCACCTGCACCCCAACTCCTCCGACACACAACTCCAGGAAAAACACAAGTCTCACTTTTCGCAATTAAAGACGCCTTCGCCTTCCAAGCCTCAATTACACGCTCTTTGTTGAACCGGTGTCATTAAAGCTGCACACGCTTTTTTTTTTTTTTTACTTTCTAAAATCGCTTTTGCTAAGAGGTAATGCTACCATCACTGGGAAAAGGTCAGCTTTCGTCTTTTTGTCAGCTGGTGCTTTACTGGCACACTGGGACGGCTACACACCAACAAGAGCAAAGCATGATGACTACTGAACACGGCTAAAAGCCTGGAGAACACACAGCAACCCGCTAATCGGCTACTCACGCGCAAGGACTACCTTCTCCCAGAACTACGAGACAAAAATCCATGAGCAACAGACCTAAAGCTACAACCGCAGACCTAAAACTACAACTGGTACTCACGACTTGCAACAAAAACGGGTCTACCAGTACGCAAAAGTAACGACAGGTAAGTCAGCAGCACTGAACTGTACTGCCTACACAGCAGCCAACGAGCACTCCCTTCGCAATTTTAGGTCGTTGAACTTAGCCTGGAAAAGTACTGTGAATCGAAAACTGCAGCGTACATTAGCGACAGCGTGTGCGTACGTTCGTAACGAAGCTAATCTTACCTTTTTGCTCTTAACTGACGCAAGTGGTGAAACACGTTGATCACGTCCCTTATCCGACGAGGTGCCTCTTCGATTTTGGATGCCAGGTTAATGCAGGCCATAGCAACAATCTGAAAACAAGCCCCGTGCCCGTAAGAAAAATTATTTTTGATAAAGATAAACCCCGTTCCCATAAGAAAAATTATTTTTTATAAAGACCAGGATCCTATAAATATTATAGTTAGACAGATAAAAGAAAAAAAAACGCACAAAACCGCTCCCTAAACAAACAACAAAATAACAAATCCTAATCCCGAGGGGAGCTGCCTGCCCG